GGGTGCAGTGACAGCTGTAAGTACTCCAGCTTTATATGCTGCTTCTAAATGCTTTCCACCTAATTTTAATCCATCTATTGCAAATATAATATCTTCATCATATGGATTGTTTATAGGAACCACTTGCCCATCACTTGCAGAGGATTCTATTTCGATCTCTGCTAATCCTAAAGCAGGACCAAAAGCAATAATTCCCTTTAATTTTTGAATAGATTTAGAGATTTATATACGAACTTTAATATATAAAACAATAATGCTTAAAAAAAACATACTGGTATTACATAGCCACCATTTAAATCAATGATTTCATACGATGAGATATTACTTGGTATTATGCAATTAATACCAATACATTCAATAATGCCATCTTTGACTATGATGCTAATATTCCCTTCTACCGATGAATATGTGTGATTTTTATCAACGTAAATTCTGTCAATATTTTTTAATATGGCTGAGGAAGCTGTCCGTGATTTACCAGGCTTCCTGACAAAATTGGATTTTGGTATATTATCTGATAGGGATTGTTTTGGTGTTTCGTTGCTAAGCACGCTTAAAGAAGTTTTAAATTGAGGAATTCCATCAATATATACTTCTAATGGTGTTGCGCCCAATGAAAGGGGATGAGAATCCCAAACCTAATAAAAAAATAATCATAAATAAAAAAAAAGAATTTTCACAGCATTTATCAAATGATATATTGTGTTACCACAACATCAGCATCATATCCTAAAGAAATTTGACCAATTCGATGATCTAGGCCAAGTGCTTTTGCGGGCACTGATGTAATGGCCGCAAGAGAATGATGCTCATCAAGTCCATAATGATAAGCTTTGGCAGCTTCATATGCCAAATGTTTCTATAGTTAACATCTACTCTTGATTAGAATAAAATTTATATTATCTAAACCATTTACAAACAACATACCGCATTTGTTATAGGATGATCGGTTTTCAAAGCTACAGGAATTTGCGCATCTGCAAAAATTTTGGGCGTCTTTGTACTAGCTTGAAATAATTCCTTTTTATGTCCCCACATATCAGAAAATGTTGCAATGGTAATATTATTTTTTGCTCGTTTTTTAATAATATCAGTAATCATATAAGCACTTGACGCATGATGTATGGCCGCAATAGTAAAATTAAATTCCAAGGAAATTCGAATTATTGTTTCCACATCGAATGTCTATATAACATTTTAGATCAGAATTTTTATAAATATGCGAGTATTAATAAAACCTTAAATTAAACCTCAAGACAGTGAAGATTTAACTTCGCATCCCCTCTTAATAATGCCACCAAACTCTCGAGTTGAAGGTCCTCTGGAAAATATGAGTTCAATTGTTCGCCATTACTTAATTTTGCTGCAACATTACACCAATCATCTTGTTTCTATTTCAATTCTTGCGCTTCAGCAAAAATTTTACGGAAAAGCCATGCTTCTCCTAATCGTGTGCTGGGGATTTGCTTACGAGAACCGAAAAATTCCTTTGTCGCACAAGAAATTAGCAATCATTAAAATAACACTATGATGAAAAATAATTTGTACTTACCTTTGGATTTTCACCACAAGCCATTTTCAACCAGCGCCAAACTCTTTCCTTCTTTGTATCAACGTTTGCATTAATTCCCATATCGTCCACTGAAACAGTATCAACTTGTCTCATCTTGATAACGAAAGCTTCACCGCCCATTAAACTCAAACTACCAGGTAAAACTATTTTAAACGCAAGAAATTAAATTAACCGTTGTGGTTTAACTTGTTCCAGTAAGTTGTTGCTTAGAGAGCAATATGCAAATATCTAAGCATTCACAAATGTAATACTCTTAGTGTGCATATATAGAATATGATTCCACTTACCTAATGAAGTTGTAACACCACCAGATGCAATTATTCGAATTTCTAAAATGAAACAAATTTAAATAAATACTGTAGAATACAATTGTATATAGGAGATTTGCGCAATTCATTGATTTCATTTGCTAACCTGGATCACTCGGGTTGATGCCATCTTGCGTACGAACCTGAATTTAAAAGATATTATTGTAGAAGAATTTTGATTCAAAAAAATTAATATACTTGTGTGGAAAATGATAAATATATATTTGTATAAGAATTTTCCAAATAATTAATACTATGGAATACAAACATAAGGTGTAAGCGGATAGGAAATTTCACTAGCATCATCAGTAGCAATTAAAGATGGCCAAGACGCAATAGCAGCATGGCTGTAAATTATTTCGGTTATTTATACGCATAGATTAAAGATAAACTGTTTTTACAGTGTTTTACCTGTGCATATCAACGAGCCCAGGAGTAATGTATTTCTTCTTAACATCAATTACAATAGCTTCATCCTCATCTGAAAGGTTCTGTCCGATAGCATGAATCAATCCGTTTTTTAAGATGATATCACCTAAAATCTTTTCTCCTTTTCCATTTAAAATAATTCCGTTTTTGAAAATAATTGTTTTTGTTCCTGGAACGAACCTAGGATTACTTGTTCGTGTATTCTTATTATTAGGCTTATCACTTTTTATCACGTTACATTTAATAATGCCATTTCTGTATGCTTCCTTTCCAATAAACTGATTATATTTATAAGGAGCATAAGGTGCAAAGTGTATTTTATAAGATATAATTAAAGTAATTAACGTCCCGACAAATGAAATTATTAAAAGAAATTTCTTTGGCCTCAAATATGATGACTTGAAATTAATGAAATTTTGAATATATCCATTTACTTGGATATATTCTTTATAACGTTCCAGCATCTTTTAAGAGCAGAATTATACTATTAGATAGCATATGCAAAAATCTATTTTTTTAACTTCTTTTAATCTTTCTGGCGTATTTTGCAGATCGTTCGCATTTAAGATTGTGGTATTAGACTAGTATTGATTTACTTTTATTCGGGATCCGCCACATTTCCCTTTTGACTAAAGCGGAAAACATTTTTAGAAAGTCTTTTAAGTTAAATCGACTTTTGATTCCATAATTAGATAAACTTTATTTTGAATTTATGTTGTGAGACAGGAAACGTGACGGCAGACACGTGACCACATTACTCGGCAAATTCTATTGCCAGCTCATAGACAGAAGTTCGTCAGATTGGCTAATAAATTCAATTTAATTTTACATTATTTATACAAAGTACTTTTAAGAAATAATAAAACTAGTGCTCCGAAAGAGTCATTCGGGTCGGGTTTGGGGTTAAACCCGTATTTGTTCGAACAAACTCGAGTTTGAAAATCTCTACTTGGGTATTATCAAAATTATCCGGTTATCCGGTAATTTAGTATAGCTCAATACAACG